ATCGTAGTGATCTGGTGTTGGAGGGTGTTCACGGGACATTGTTAGCAACTGTTAGTTCTTAAGCATACTACATGCATGAGTATACAAAATCAACAAACAAGCACCACAAACACACACCAAAGGTAGGCACATGAGGGGGGGGTAGCATATATATGTATATATGTATATATATATATATATATGCACACGTACACATACCATTGTAAACCCCACAACCCTGTTCTAGTTCTTATATAAAGCCCATGCACGCAACTCTTTCAAAAAAACCGTGCAGGCGCAGAGCTCTTGCCGCAAGCGTTTGGCCGAGCTGAGCTGGGGTGTTGGTTCCTTGGAAAGCAACGGTTTAGGGTTTAGGGTTTAGGGTTTAGGGCTTTAGGGTTTTAGGGTTTAGGGTTTAGGGTTTAGGGCATAGGAGGTATGGTTATGGGTTTCGCATGTAACAGCTAGGGTTTAGGATTTAGCATTTCATTAGCGGTTGGGGGTTGCCGTTTAGGGTTCGGGTTTAGTTATTAGTGTAGTGGCGACTTGAGTCCAGTAGCAACGAAAGGGTAGGTTTCTGACAGCAGTACCAATTGTCTATTTTCGAGAACACGCCAAGCTCCCGTACCAGAGCTTAGCAAGGTTTTTGGGGTGGTCTGGAATTTGGAAGTACAAGCTCTCTCTATCATTGTCTATATATTCTAGCAGACTGAATGGGTAGGAACACGGTTCCTCACGCATCCTTCGTGACTGATTCTATTCATAGTACAAGGCCCCCACAACCCTAAACCCATGAGGAGAGGCTGTGAGCAAGATCCGGCGGAAGGTGGGCCGTTTTGCCACAAGCCTTGGAGCTTGGAGTTGCCAATAGGGAGGATTTAGGATTTAGGGTATAAAAAGTCTGTACTTCCAGCACCTTTTTTTGGGGGATGTCCTTGCATCGAGAAAGAGGCAAGTCAGGACATGTGAGAATCCTTGCGTTCAGACCTGACGGCTTCAATACTTCACTCTGAGACATGGGGTCGAGTACACACCCAGACATCAGATAGCATAATCCGTCACATAGCTACTGACGCCTGCCAGGCAGCTGGGAGATATGCCTCCAGGAATACCGGTGGAGAGGACCGTCGCCACTGCCGATTGTAATGCCCCAAACATGTCGAAGCCCCAAGTCCTGAAGTGCAAATTTCATTGGGTTGGCTTGATAGCATGTCTATGCGAGTTTCCGGGCTTCCCGAACCCGAAACCCTAAAGCCCTACATCCACACACACAGCGGGTCATAAGACTTGCTTGCAGCAGGAGGTGGGCGTTTGGAGGGTCGCTGAAAACAAACTTGCCTTGAAGGGCCGGGGTCTGCAAACTCTCTGACCTCAAAGCCCAAGTAAGAAGGGTTAAGGGTTTAGGGTTTAGGATTCTGAAAACGGTACGAGTTTTAAGCACTAAACTTACCTGCGGCGGATCCCAAGTTCTAAGATGGGGGGGCCTACGTACATGCAGGTGGCTGCCAAGCCCAAAGGGTCCAAAGTACCTATATGGTAGAATGTAGGGTTTCTATAGTAGGAATTGTTATTATGATTTGGGAAACTATCCCCCATAACAGTACCTAGGACCCTTTGGGAAGGCCTTTTGAAGGGAGGTCCCCCAGGATGGTAGACTTGTCTCCCGGATAGCTACCTCCATTTTTATAAGTTTAGAGCTTGGGGTTTTAGGGGCACGCAATCCAAGCCCATGCTGAACAGGGTTTAGGGTTTAGGGTTTAGGGTTTAGGGTTTAGGGTTTAGGGTTTAGGTTAAGGAAGTTATACCTTGCTCCTCATTGCTGCAGATCTAACTCGTAGGCTGCTACCTTCAGTTCTTTGGGTCTGCCAGGTGACCGAACCCGCCAACCCCGGATCACCCCGAAAAGGCTCAAGCTTTGCACATCTTAGTGGCTGAGTAGGTAACCTTTAACCTTTTGGGGTTTATATAACCCTACC